GCTTGCATGGTATATTTTGCAAACCGTATGCATGCTACGGCTGGAAAATATTTAATTTGTTGCTCAGCTGTGTCATCTCAGTATAGAAATACCCCTGTATGTACCTTTACCGCAGAGACATGGAATGGCAGATGGATTACCGTAGGATCTGGTAGACTTAGAGTTGTGGATAAAAGGCATTTTGCACAGTCTGTTGCTCTTCACTTTCAGAGTGTAATGGTGTTGTGGAGAGAGGTACTGAGGCTAGTGGTGTTGTGGAGAGAGGTACTGAGGCTAGTGGTGTTGTGGAGAGAGGCACTGAGGCTAGTGGTATTGTGGAGAGAGGCACTGAGGCTAGTGGTGTTGTGGAGAGAGGCACTGAGGCTGGTGGTGTTGTGGAGAGAGGCACTGAGACTAGTGGTATTGTGGAGACCGGCTTGGAGACTATGGTGAGGCCTAATAGAAAGCAGTTGTTGGGGGATTCCATTATAAGAGGTGTGGAGATGGACAATGGTGGTCTTGTGAGGTGTCTTCCCGGAGCTACTGCTCACAGAGACAGGAGACGTATCTGTAATATTGTTAAGCAAGCAAAGCAGGAAGGGGAATTGGATGTACTTGTCCATGTAGGCAGGGCCGGACTGGGAAAAAAATTAGGCCTGGGCATTTTTCAATTAGAGCGGCCCCCCAAGAAGGGGCCGGGCCAGAGAGGGTGTGTTTTGTCATCACTAATGACAAGTACACCCCCTCTGAAAGTGAGCATGTTGGTTCAATGCGCAGAGCCCCGCTGAAGAGCTCTAGCATTAGAAAAAGGCCCTTTATTTGTTCTGGGAAGCGCAAGCAAATGTAATACCATGCTTGCGCTGTGTTTGCTTTTAAATTGTCTCTGGTGTCTCCACAAGTGGGATACCAGAGGACAAAAGGGCCAGGAAAGTGTATGGTGCATATGTTTGGCGCATGCTTGTGGGATTGCCTGTGTGTAGAGTGTGGTGTAGTATTGTGTAAATAGGTCAATTTTGTGGTGTAATATGTGTGGCTAGGGGCTGTAGAGAGTGCGTGTATAGGGGCATAGTGTTATAGGGGATGTAGCGAGTGTGTGCATACGGGCAGTAGTGTGTGTGTATAGGTGGTGCAGTGTGTGTGTAAGAGATCTAGTGTGTAAAGGACCCAGAGTGTGTATAGAAGATTGTGTGTGTGTGTAGAGGATTAAGAGTGCATATAAGGTCAGAGATCTAGCGTGTATCTGGAGCTTAATGTATGTAGTTGTGCAGAGGGGTGCTGTAGTGTGTGTGTGTATATATATATATATATATATATAATATATTTGGACGTATTGTATGTGTGAGGTGCGCAGTGTGTTTGTGTAAGAGGAGTGCTGTGTGTGAGGGTGTTTTTATGAGCCGTCACATTCTGGGTTTCTAATTTTATTTGTCTGTTAACTCACTGAGGGTTATTTTATATAATATATACGTGCTGTATATGTGTGGGAGTGAGGGTGCTGTCTGTCTGAGGGTGTTGTGTGCGTCTGGGGGTGCTGTGTGTGTCTGGGGGTGCTGTGTGTGTCTGGGGGTGCGCTGTGTGTGTCTGGGGGTGCGCTGTGTGTGTCTGTGGGGTGCTATGTGTGTCTGGGTGCTGTGTGTGTTTGGAGGTGCTGTGTGTGTCTGGGTGCTGTGTGTGTCTGGGTGTGCTGTGTGTGTCTGGGTGTGCTGTGTGTGTCTGGGGTGCTGTGTGTGTGTGTCTGGGTGCTGTTTGTGTCTAGTTGCTGTGTGTGTGTGTCTGGGGGAGTTGCTGTGTGTGTCTGGGGGTGCTGTGTGTGTCTGGGTGCTGTGTGTGTCTGGGTGTGCTGTGTGTGTCTAGGGGTGCTGTGTGTGGGTCTGGGTGCTGTGTGTGTCTAGGTGCTGTGTGTCTGTGTGTGCTGTGTGTGTCTGTATGTGCTGTGTGTGTCTGGGGTGCTGTGTGTGTGTCTGGGGGTGCTGTGTGTGTGTCTGGGTGCTGTGTGTGTCTGGGGGTGCTGTGTGTGTCTGGGGGTGCTGTGTGTGTGTCTGGGTCCTGTGTGTGTGGGGGTGCTATGTGTGTCTGGGGGGGCTGTGTGTGTCTGGGGGGCTGTTAGGGAAATTATTTTAAATATATATTTTTTTTATTAATAATTTTAAAAAAAGTTATGAAGGTAAGAAGGGGGGGAGCCGTGTTGCCATGAGGGGGGGCCATGCTGTCATGCTTCCCTGTTGGTCCAGTGGTGAGAGTGAACTCTAACCTGCAGTCTAGAGTTCACTCTTGCGAGATCTGAGCGTTGCCGTGGTAACCGCAGCAATGCTCAGAATCCCATAAGAGGACCCGGCGGAGCTGCTGGTTAGAGCTCCGCCGGGTCCTCTCTCCTGCCTCCCTCCTTCCCCAGCCTGCGGCCGCCTGTAACACTGCCTGTGGGCCGGTGAGGGAGATCTTTGATCTCCATATCCGGCCCATGGAGACACACAGTGGGGCCGGCGCTCGGATAGCGCTGGCCCTGCACGGGCTGGTAGGGGAGATCCTGTGATCTCCCTGCCGGCCTCGGCCCCACGGCCATCGCGTAAAACAAGGATTAGTTAGATTAAAAACAAAAGAAGGAAGGTATGTAGAAGAGGATAAAGGTCTAGCTGGCTGCCTCAATTAATATTTTTGTTCTGTATTCACAGATGAAAATGAAGGAAAGGGACCTCAGTTGAGAAAAAGAATAAATGAGTCATTTATTACACGTGAGTTTACCGAGGAAGAGGTTCTATTTCAACTGTCAAAAGTAAAGACCAATAAGTCAATGGGACCTGATGTAATACACCCAAAGCTATTAAAAGAGCTTAGTGGTCTACTAGTAAAACCATCAACAGATTTATTTAACCAATCATTGTTAACAGGAGTAGTCCCAGAAGATTGGAAGTTAGCGAATGTTGTGCCCATTTAGAAGAAAGGTTATAGGGAAGTCGGGAAACTACAGGCCAGTAAGCCTTACTTCAGTAGTGGGGAAAGTGATGGAAACCATGTTAAAGGATAGGATTGATGAACATCTAAAAACACATGGATTTCAAGATCAGAGACAACATGGGTTTACTTCAGGGAGATCATGCCAAACTAATCTTATTGATTTTTTTGATTTGGTAACTAAAATTATAGATCAGGGTGGTGCAGTAGACATTGCTTACTTAGATTTCAGTAAGGCTTTTGACACTGGTGCACATAGAAGGCTTATCAATAAACTGCAATCTTTAAGTTTGGATTCCAATATTGTTGAATGGGTAAGGCAGTGGCTGAGTGACAGGCAACAGAGGGTTGTAGTTAATGCAATATATTCGAAGCTTGGACTTATCACCAGTGGGGTACCTCAGGGATCTGTACTTGGACCCATTTTCTTTAATATTTTTATTAGTGATATTCCAGAAGGTCTTGATGGTAAGGTATGTCTTTTTGCTGATGATACTAAGATATGTAACAGGGTTGATGTTCCAGGAGGGATAAGCCAAATGACAAATTATTTAGGTAAACTAGAAAAATGGTCAGAATATGTGGCAACTGACATTTAATGTGGATAAGTGCAAGATAATACATCTTGGACATAAAAACCCAAGGGCAGAGTACAGAATATTTGATAGAGTCCTAACCTCAACATATATCCCTGGATTTAGGGGTGATTATTTCTGATGACTTAACGGTAGGCAGACAATGTAATAGAGCAGCAGGAAATGCTAGCAGGATGCTTTGTTTGGGAGAGGTATTAGCAGTAGAAAGAGGGAAGTGCTCATGCCATTGTACAGAACACTGGTGAGACCTCATTTGGAGTATTGTACACAGTACTGGAGACTGTATCTTCAAAAGGATATTGATACCTTAGAGAGGGTTCAGAGAAGGGCTACTAAACTGGTTCATGGATTGCAGGATAAAACTTACCAGGAAAGGTTAAAGGATCTTAACATGTATAGCTTGGAGGAAAGACGAGACAGGGGGGATATGATAGAAACATTTAAATGTATAAAGGGAATCAACACAGTAAAGGAGGAGACTATATTTAAAAGAAGAAAAACTACCACAACAATAGGGCATAGTCTTAAATTAGAGGGACAAAGGTTTAAAAATAATATCAGGAAGTATTACTTTACTGAGATGGTAGTGGATGCATGGAATAGCCTTCCAGCTGAAGTGGTAGAGGTTAACACAGTAAAGGAGTTTAAGCATGCGTGGGATAGGCATAAGGCTATCCTAACTATAAGATAAAGCTAGGGACTAATGAAAGTATTTAGAAAATTGGGCAGACTAGATGGGCCGAATGGTTCTTATCTGCCGTCACATTCTATGTTTCTAGGTATATGTGGCACATTTGAGACAGAGTCTTTCCAGTTTTTTTTCAAACGTTGAATTTTTACGCTGTGTCCATGTCCCATTTTGGACTAGTTGAGCATGTTGGTTATTCCAACTACCCCACAAACGCATACCACTTCTTAAAGAATACACCCCAGGGTATTTCAAAAGGCATATTTTGAACCTTAGCATGGGATCATTGTTTTGCTATTTTGTACCAAATGTAGTGGTAATAAGCATTTTTTGGGGGTCTTTTTGGCACACACTGAGCTTTTACTCTATATTCTGCAAACTTTATGTGTGATACGGCAATATAATACTTCACAGGTTGCTCAACTATGTCATCTAAGTACAGCAATACTAGTGTCAACTTGTAAGCAACACATCTCCTAAGTTCCTAATCCACTAAACTGTTGTTAAATACGTAACGGGTACATTGTCTTGTTTAGAAAGTATCAGCAGTATATTTGTTTAAAACATTTTGTTATATTGTATGCATTGTTTGCTAATCTTTATAAGTTACAAGTGTAAATGCCTGTTTTCTGTCGTAGCCCTTAGTAGCAAGTTTGAGCCAATATTCATTCTTATTAGGTTTCAGGCACACACACACTTGAAAGGCAAAGGCACACTAGAACTAGAAATGTTGTCACCTGATGATGAAACAGACAAACCCACAAAGTCACAACAGGTGCGGCCAAGAAATGCATGAAGAAACAGTTAAGAAAAATGAAAAGGCATTCAACAAGGCGTACAACTCTTGGAAGGAGCTAGCAAAAGAAATTAGGATGAAGCTAAAGAATTTCTGCTCTACTGAAGACCTTGATACAAAACTGAAGGAGATTAAAGCCAAAGAAGCGTTAGTACACCAACAGTATGAGTCCATTTGCCGCAATCATTCCACTACCCAATACGTTGTTAAGAGAATGGATGCATGCACCGCCTTAACAGCTGAAATCTGCGACCTCACCAGCAAACGGCTAGAGAATGTAGACGGAATCTTTGATGATCAACATGAGAAGGAAAGAGTGAGGATGTCAACATGAGAAGGAAAGAGTGAGGATGTCAACATGAGAAGGAAAGAGTGAGGATGGTACTCAATATAGAAGAGCACGAGTCAGTCTTTGGAAACACAGAAACAGAAACTGTTTTCTCAGAGTCATTACCAAACTTGGCTGCAAGCCGACCTTGCAGCCAAGATAGAACAGGCAAAGGCAATGCAACAGATGCGTGAACAACAAGCTAAGCTGAACAAACTGGAGGCAGAAATTAAACTAAAGCTGGATGAGGAAAAGACAAAAAGCTACAAGCAGAAAATGAAGTCAAGGTAGCTGCAGCAAGAGTGAAAGCCTACAACGTCTATGCTGGTCTTTAAAATTGTGAACAGGAGACAGACCACAAGGTGCAATACCTCTGCCAAAATAATGAACCTCAAACCTCATTGAATCCACAAGCCGTGCCATTTCAACCTTCAAATACACCACTGTGTGTGTCAAGACCACAAGAAGAAGTTAGACTAACTCCAGGACTTGCAAGTCTGCTCATCTCAAACCGTCTCCTATACCTAAGCCAACTGTATTTACAGGTGATCCTTTAAAGTTTATAGATTGGAAGATATCCTTTATGGTGCTGATTGATCAGAATCCACTCCCTGTGTGCGAAAAAATGCTGTACTTGAAGAGGTATCTCGGTGGTGAAGCTCGTAAGCAGTGGAAGGTTTCTTCTATCGAAATTCAGAAGATGCTTATCTAGGTGCTTGGGGAATCCTACAGGTCAGGTATGGAGGTCCATTCATTGTTCAAAGAGTTTTCAGAGAAAGGTTGACTAAATTTCCAAAAGATATCAGCAAATGAGAGTTTGCAGATTTCCTTAAAGGTTGTGTGGAGGCCATTCCTCATGTTAAAGGCCTAGCTTTTCTAAATGATTGTGAAGAAAACCACAAGCTTCTCAAGAAATTGCCTAAATGGATCGTGCGCAGATGGAGTCGCATCGTTGTGGACAAGTTAGACAAGTCTCAAGAATACCCAACCTTTGCTCATTTCACAAAGTTCCTGCAAAAGGAAGCCAAGATTGCATGCAACCCCATTGCCTCTCCCTTCCTCCTCATTACCAAGACTACAGATGAGAGAATTCCCAAGGGAGCCAAGGCATTCAACACAAGCACTTAAATTAAGCCCTCCGCCTCCAGCATCCCAGAGATCTCAGCTTCAAGACCAAAACCACCTTGCCTAATTTGCAAAAACGAAACACAAATTTCTGACTTTTGCAACAAAGACCTTCGATGAAATTCATGAAAACCACTTCTGCTTTGGTTTCTCAAGAAAGGGCCACACTGCAAAAAACAGCAAAGGAAGACACACGTGTAGCATATGTAGTCGACATTAGTCAACCTGTTTGCACATACAGAAAAACACGGAGCCTGTCAGAACAGCAAACGATGATCTAGTAGCCATGAGAAATAAGGTAAATGACAACGTTCTTAAAGTTATGCCCCATACATTGACAAGGCATACTTCTGCCACATCCTGCATTGTTCCAGTTCATTTGTCAGCGGCGATGAAGCCTCAGAGAGAAATCCTCACTTATGCCTTACTTGATACGCAGAGTGATTCAACCTTTATTGTGGCAGACCTGGTATCTAAGCTGAAGCTGAAGCTCAGCATAATGACAGCTGTTGACACAGTTATATCAAGCCAAATTGCTCACGGTCTGCGAGTGCGTGGCTTCAACTCTAAAGCTCAAGTCCAACTCCGTCAAGTCTATACAAGGGATTTAATTCCACAAGTTAAAGGACCACTCTAGGCACCCAGACTACTACAGCTTAATGAAGTGGTCTGGGTGCCAGGTCCAGCTAGGGAAAAACTGCTATGTTTATGAATGGGTTAAGCCTTCCCCTATTTCCTCTAGTGGTTGTCTCATTGACAGCCACTAGAGGCGCTTGCGTGCTTCTCACTGTGATTTTCCTATGTGACCGGCTGAATGCGCGCGCAGCTCTTGCCGCGGGTGCGCATTCAGCCGACGGGGAGGAGAAGAGGAGGATCGGAGGAGGAGAGCTCCCCGCCCAGCGCTGGAAAAAGGTAAGTTTTTACCCCTTTCCCCTTTCCAGAGCCGGGCGGGAGGGGGACCCTGAGGGTGGGGGCACCCTCAGGGCACTATAGTGCCAGGAAAACTAGTATGTTTTCCTGGCACTATAGTGGTCCTTTAAGTCTCACATCCCCACTAAGGAGACTACACTCCAGTGGTCACACCTCAAGCACTTGGCAAACAAGTTACAGCCACTTCAAGACTGCGAAGTTGGACTACTGATCGGTTACGACTGCCCATAAGCCCTAGCTCTCTTGGAGGTCGTTACCGGTCGAACCCGTCACTCAAATAAACTATGCTTGGCTGAAGCATTATAGGATCAGCAAATCCACATCTTGATAGACAGGGTAGCTAGAGCTTCATAAACAGAGTTGCAGTAAAAGAAATGCCAATGCCCCCGGTCACTGATGTGTTAAAGGCTTTAGAAATGGACTTCATTGAAAGAAACTATGAAGATTAGTATGTGTCTGAAGATGACGTTCGCTTTGTGCAGTTTCTCTCTGAAACCATAATGAAAAGGAAAGATAGACACTATGAGATGCCGTTACCCTTCAAAGACAACAGTCAACTGGCACTACCAAACAATAAGAGGCTGGCCATTATTCAACTTCAACATCTAAAGAAAAGGTTAAAGGCCAATAAACAGTACCATAAACACTACACTGCATTCATGGAAGAAACTATCAGAAAAGGTAGAACCAGCCCCTTCATTATCAGAGGAAGAGACAGTGCGGTACATCTCACATCACGGGGTTTATCACTCCAAAAAGCCAAACAAGTTAAGAGTTGTCTTTAAATGTTCAGCAAAGTTCCAAGGCATCTCCCTAAACGACACCTTATTGCCAGGTCCTGACCTGATAAATTCTCTAGTGTGAGTTCTCTGTCACTTCAGGGGCGAAGTACAATAAATGCAATGTGTACATATTTAAAAAAAAATTATCTGCAAAATAGAAAAACCTTGTAATGAGGAAGATTTTTTTTAAAGAGTGGGGGTGGGGGACAGTACAATATTTGTAATGTGCACATTTATAAAAAAAATTATCTGCAAATTAAAGTTGTGTTCTAAAAATCTAGAAATTTGCTCAGCTTTTTTTTTTAATCTTTTTTTTCTCTATCATCATTGTAAGGATTCTCTCTCACTAAAGTGACATTTGATTAGCAGATTAAATCTTAGCATTTTTAAAAAAAAATGTTACTTAAGAAGTGAGCCATTAGTAGATTTAGAAATACTGATCCCTGCTAATAAAATCTACTGTTTTAATGTTGTAATGTACACAGGAATATTAAAGGGACACTATTCTCACCAGAACAACTACAGCTTAATGTGTTTGATCTGGGGTCATATAGCCATTCCATATAGGCATTTTAATGTAAACAGTGCCTTACCAGAGAAAAAGCAGTGTTTACATTACAGCCTAGGAACACCTCTAGTGGCCACTCCTCAGATGGCCGCTGGAGGTGCTTTCTGGGTCAGTGCTGCATAATGTGCAGATCATTTGATGGTGCACATATTGCAAAGGTCATGCCAGATGCGGTTTATATTTGGTGCTATAGTCATATCCTTAACCTGTGTGTCTCAGATTGCTGTCAAGTATTGGAAGCAAAAAAATGTTTGGTCTCCTAAATCTCTTGGCAACCTTTATTGGAGACTCTCAAAAGAATGAATATCTGGAAAGCCCAGCTGGATAGAAGACATGGACAAGAAAAACTTTTAAGGTTACAAAACATTGGAGAGACAAGATGGTGGGCAAAAGAAAAGGCCCTTAACTAGATTTTTGGTGAAAAACATTCTCTTTATTTAGACACCCTCGAAGTTTTATATGTAATTTCCCAGAGTAACTTGTTTGAATCGAAAACCACTTCTAGGCCTCATCCCTTTTTCAGAATCTTTGTCAGTTTAGGATTATCCTAACAGCAAATATATTTTTACAGGTTTTTGATGTTATAGGGCCAGTGTCAAAATATCTACAAACCAGTAGCCTTGACTTCAAGGTAGCATGGCAAATGGTCAAACGTGCAGTTGAGCAAATGAAAAAAATAGATTTCAACTATCGAAAACCAAAGGCTGAACACTTTGCAATAAAAACAAATGAGTTAAACGAAGAAAGTGATGTTCTCAACTCCTTGGAAGTCGAGACTATGCTTCCAGTTTGAAGAGTGGCACGAAAAAAATGCTTGGCTGAAGAATCTTCACATGATGAACCACCTGAAGATGAAATGCAATGTTTTCGAGCTAGTGTGTTCAGACCAATTCTGGAACAAATCATACAAAGCATGACAGAGAGATTTTCAGAAAATAAGCAATTGGTCATGGATTCCCACTACTTGGATCCTCACACGGAAATTAGGACAGATCCCAAAGTGCTAGATGGAGGGGCACTAGAGAGAATTTCTAAGTTAGCCAAAGTACATGAATGTTCTCTCAAAACTGAATTAATACGTTTTGCCAACTTATTTCCAAGTCTTACAGGATGTCTTTCTGAAGATGAGACACAGAAAGTGGAAATAATTCTTGATAATGATGATGAGGAGGAGGAGGAGATTAATGACTGGATTTCACCTACTGACAAACTAGTTGAGGTACAAAAGGAATCAAAGTGCGGTTCTTGCAAGCAGTGCTTTCTTTGCTGTCACAGGTTGTTATTAAAATACAACCTTTATTCTGCAGCTTATGAAAATATTTTGATCACCTATGAGTACCTGTTGACCCTTTCTTTTACAGCTAAAACTCATCAAGACTCGACTACGAGCCACAATGGGACAATAACTGCTTGATGCTCTAATGCTTATGTCAGTGGAGAGCGATCTTCTGGAACAGGTCCAGTTTCCAGATGTATTGGAAATTATTCGTCAAAGTTCTTCCTTGATGAGGTTTTTGCTAACCGTCTTCAGGATGTGCCAACTTTGGCCTTAAGTATCTTGCATGACGATACAAGGCAGAATATCCATCAGCATCAGACTT